CAGGCCGAGCTCGGAACTGGCGAGCCGGGCCCCAGGGGAGCCGCGGGCGCTGACGTTTGTGTAATTCAAGTGGAAATATTTTTTTAATGCCAATAAATCATGAGAGCCTGAAGTGTTTTCCAGGCACAGAAAGCACGGCCAGCCTGGTCCTGCACCGGCCCCAGCTCGGCCACCAGGTTGCAGGGGCTGCCACAGGCACTGCTTGGACAGGGGCCAGGGGCAGTGACACTATTTTTAATCCTGGCAGCACATGATTCTTCAGCTGCTCAACATGATTTGGAGCTGGGGTTGGCACACCACGCAATGACAGCAACAGGCCAGGGCAGGCTCCAGGCCTTCACGGCTTGGAAAGCTCTTTGGTTAGAAAGGAACTAAAAAATAAACATCAAAACCTGAAAAAGTGAGTGCAGCAGCTCAGTGCGATCAGGGCAGCACACACTGCTCCCAGGATACTGTTCAAGTGTATCTGCTCTCAGTGTCTGATCTTTTATTGATTAGAAGCTACTTAATGAATTATCTGGTAGAACAAGGTGTCAGCAGAGGACACAGCCCACACCAGCACCAGGGAAAACCCATCCTGTCCCTACAGGACACAGGCTGCAGTTTGCTCGTGGCAGGGAGCTGAGGAGATGCAGTTCAGCACATGGAATGCTGGAACAATTTCTCACAGGAAGCAGCCAGTGCTGCAACAGTGGAAATGAGGACAAGTTACTGGAAAATAACAGAATCTGAAGAAAAAATGCTGCACAAGCTGCAGTAGCTGTGGAGACAAAGACACTGAACCCCCAGCCCCTGCAGGGCAGCTATTGAGGATTCACACAATACCACAAAGTCATCAAATCAGAGTGAAACACCTCAGATTGCCCTCAACCAGCACCTGATTGCCTGAGAGAGAACAGCAGCAGCTCCTAGTGCAGCACCAACCCCCCCTGCCATGAGCACTCCCAGGCATTTAGATCCTCCCAAGTGTTTCATACCACTTTGCCACATTAAATTCAATTTATTTTCATGTTTCTAATCTGGCAAAGCAGGTCCCAGCCAAATGTTGACAACATTTCGTACCACTGCAGGAGGAAAAGCTGCTACAATGAGCAGAGCCACCACTGGTGTATTTCAACATTTAAACAACTTGATATTTAAACAAAGGGTTGTATTTAATCAATGACAGCATGAACCACAGTGTATGTGCACAGTGCAGCTGCCAAAGCACCAAGTGAAGCAATGTGAACCCCTGCAATTTGTGCTGCAACAGCTAAACCCAGCCCTGCTCTGGCTTCTAGAGAATTAGCTCTTGGCATCTCAGGCTTAATTACTACAGTCAACACCAAGAAAGCTATTAAAAACCAACCAGGCACAGGTAAACATGTGGAATTCTACAATACAAACTATGTAACAAAAAAGGGAGTAAGAAATGAGTGGAATTTCCAGAAATTTGTGTTTCTCAGACCCAGCCATACCACTCCACACTGACAGACTGCTTATTCACTTAATACCCTCTGGAATAAAACAGAAGTAATTTATAAAAATATTTAAATAGTTTATTTTTAAGAGCTGTATGTTCCTGGTTCCTCTTCATTGCACTCAGACTTCTTTTTCTGCAAGTGCAAAGCACATAATTAGAGAGATTGTGAAAGAAAGACAAAACAACAGCAGAAACTACATGACATGGAATCACCATTCAGAATCACAGGCCATGTGCCTGCCAAATATTCTCAAGTATTCACATCACATTTTAGATTAAATGAACAGAATTAATGTATTTTTAAGACCAGCTATGGCTTTGTGTGTTTTCCTACCCCACAGCAAGGAGCAGCAGTGACAAACCACAGAGGATTCAATAGGAATTCACCCATTGAATCCCACTGGCTTCACACCTTACAGTCTATTGTTACTCACCTGTGACTCCCGAGTTAAGGTACTCAGCATGTTGCTCCTCAAACAAGATTTTAAATATCTGAAGTTTCCCCTTGTAGTTTAGTGGCAAATTAGAGGGAAAATGTCATTAATTCCAGCTCTGCAAGATGGTTTATTTTCCTGAACTGCTATTTGCTTCACTCCTATACATGCTGATTTATACACCAGGTTATTTTTTTAATTCATTGTTAAAGTGTTTCAGCAAATAGCTTTTTAACAAGGTTTAGTTGAATTAACATCTGAGAAGCAGCTGCTCTATTCTCCTTTTCCCATGCTGACAATCACCAACTGCAGCCTGAGTGCAGGAATGGTCATTTCTTGTTTGACCACCTGCTGCACACAAAGGACAGAATTTATTTGCTGCTGCAGGGCTGAAAAGCCTCAGACAATCATTACATTTTGGCTCTACAAAAGCAAGATGCAGAAACTTTATATAAAACTGAGATTAATCACATGTTTTAGGCAGGAATTACATAAACCAAGCCCTCACAGCAGTGTAAACACAACAACTACTTACTTGTCCACCTGTTCCCTTGGTCCCTCCACACACCACTGGGCACCGTGCTGGATGTGCTCATGTTCAACTCCTCAACTGGAAAAACATTCCCAAGTTATTACACCCCCAAGTGATTTTGAAATCTTTTGTACAAACCCACGTCTAGAAAGGTATTTTTAGCTGCTGCTGTCAAGATATCAAGCCCAGGTAGAGTCAGGGTGCTCAAGCCCACAGTGTGACAGCAGGGACTGTGTTCTATCCTACACATTTAATGTATCCATTTTTCAGTGATCCCCATTTCAAAGGTACTCAGTGACTGAACACCAAGTGTCCAAAAACCTTTATTATTTCAGCCAAAAAAGCAACACTTACTTCCAATGGATGAGCACTCTGGCGTCACTCAGCTTTCATCTTCACCTAAAGGATAACAACTGAAGTTATTAGAGTCATACACAACAAATTGTGACCATTTCAAAACTAACTTAAAAATAAGGTTTTAACATACATGGACTGATTAGTTATGAGGGGGAACTTATCAATTATTCCAAACTATTACGTGGAAGAATAAGGGGCAGAAATAGGCTAACCTAAACACTCATCAAGAGCTGAAGGAATATGCAGGCAGTTGCCTGAAGAACTGCACCCTGAGCACAAACCATAACCCCAGTCTGAGCACAGTGAGGTTTGATTGCAGCCAGAGGTATACTATCCCTTATGTGAAGGCTTTAATTTCAGCAGCTACTCCAACTCTATGACCCTACTTGTCTCCTGTAGCAATGCCCTCTCTCTTCCCTTCCTGAGGCAGTGCAGTGGTCCTGGCCTCTTGGAGCTCTCGTGTTCTACAGTAGAACAAGTGCTTCAGAAGCCAAAGGCAGACACTACAGGTTGGCACTGTCACTGCTTTTATCCTCAGAAGGTTCTTCCCTCCTCAAGGCCTCCCTTCACTATAGCTGAGGGCAGCCTGCAATGGTGAGAGCTGGGGATGTGGTGCAAGGCTCTGCACAGCTCCAGTTGGGAGGCAGATCCCAGCATGGGCACAGCATGATCTGACCAGGCAGGGACAACTTCAGGCTTTAGTCTCCAACCCACCACCCACCTGGGTTTCCTCACAGCCCTTGGGAGCAGGAGAGTTATGCACGTTTTGTTTTCTCTGCCATAGCAACAAACACC